GAGTCTTGTAGGACGTCTTCAGCATCTGGGCCTCTGTCGCAGTGCTTGCCGACGTAGCAGCGTTGGCACTTGTCTCGACCTCTGAGTCGCAGTAGGCCTCGCTTCGAGCCTGCCACAATGAGTAGATCTCCGCCGCCCGTCTGGACTCCTCCCTGCCGAGGGCGTTGAGGGCGTCCAAGTCGCGCTGGGTGGCATCACGGGCGCGAAGTAGTCGTTGACCAGGGCCAAGATGCACGCGATCGTGCACGATCAGGTCCACGTTGTAGGTGCCGTTTTGGACTATCAGCGGCCCCTCGATGACCTGGCAATGGTCGGGTAGATCAGGACCTGGCTCGATCCAAAGGCTGCTTGAGCGAGCCTCCGGCGGCGCGCGCATCGAGATCGTCTTCGCGATGCTCTGGCCAGGCGGCGCCTCCACGACAATGTGGTCCGAGCACCGCAGGAAGGTATGCGTATTCGGGTCGTCCTGCTCGCCTGGCAGCACGGTCGGAAAGCGAACCCCGAGCGACCTGAGCTCGATGGAGTCACGGTCGGAGACGAACCCGCACCTGTCCAAGGATGGCTTCCCGATGAGCAAGTCCTCGGTGCAATTCGGCACGACAAGGAACCCCGTGCTGACCGTCTCGCAGGCGACAGCACCGTTCTCGCGAAAAGAAACCTTCAATGTAGCGAGTCGGTTCACCACCACCGTCTGGCCGCGCTCGAAAGAGCGGCAGGTGATTGGCTCGATGGCCTCCACGTCCTCGACGAAGTTGGACGTCCGGGGCTCCTCGAGCAGTGCCTTCAGGAAGTCGCGGTCTATGGAGTTGCGAGTAGCTCCGGTATCGAAGACTGTTTCAGTTCTCGCTTCCCCCATCCACGTGAAGGCTCGACAATTGTATCCGCCCGACACCTGCAAGACCATATGCTTGGAGCCGCCGCTTGAAAGATGACCGACCTTGCGAACGAGCTCGTGGTTCGCCGCTGCTGCCGTCAGCGGAGAGGGCGAATTGGCAACTTTGCTCTCAATGCCGCAAGCGATGACCCCGATCACCATCAGGAGGGCTGCGAACCCAAGGAGGAACATGACGGCCTTCCCCGTGAAATAGCGCACCTGAGACAAAGTACGCCTAAGCCAGCTTCGCGGGCGAGCTGGGCCCCACAAGTCCGAGTCGAAGGTCTCGCTCGAATTAAGATTCATATCAGACAGCTTCTTGGACTTGGCCTCGCCCCCGATGCTGTCGATGTCGTTGTCGGTCTCCATCGTCATCAACGACGCCAGGAGCCTCGCGGCACGGTCCGTCCGCTCTTGTTGGTCAGTGGCGTGCGAGCCCTCGAACGTGAGCAAGCGGGCATTGCCGCCTCTTCCCTTGGACTTCGCCTTACCACCGCCCTGCTCGCCACCTCTACCTCGTCCTTTGCCGCCACCCTTGTCGGCCTTCTGCTTGAGGTACTCCTCCGCCTCCTTGGCGCCCTTCTCGGTGTAGCAAAGGGCGTGGTGGCGACTGAGGTGACCCATGCCTCCGCAAGCCTGGCCCTTGTTCAAATGCTTGTACCAGCATGGGATGGCGTCCTTCACCGCCTTGGTGACGTCCCAGCCCTGCTCCTCGCTGGCTTTCTGATTCGGGCAGACCGAGCACTCGGGGTGCGCGCCCTTGCAACGCGGGCAATCGCCTGTGCCGGCCCGCGGCGCGGCCTCGGCCTTCGACCTGCCCTTGTCTGGCTCGCGGGCCGCCCTCCACTGGCTGTCCAGCTGCTGCGCCGTCGGAGTCGGCGGGGGCGGGAAACCTGACGATACCGCCGAAGCACCTTGCAGGCTCTCGATGATCTGCTTGGCCTTCGCCACCTTCGCCTCCTCCTGCCTCTTGGCCTCTTTCTTGGCCGCGGCCGACCGCTTCGCGTTCGGCTCGATCGAAGTGTTCAGCAGCTGCCCCGGCTTCGTCTCGGACGACTGGAGCCCCACTGGAGCTCGTGCCCTGACGTGCTGGCGGGACCGGCCCAGGATTGTCATGCTGCTGTCCTCGTCCTCGCGGATGGCCATGCGCCTCGGGAAGGTAGGGAGGTCCATCAAGTAGATCAACAGAGCGCTGCCTTCGATCTTCGTCTTGAACTCTTCGATCTCCCTCATCAGCATCGGGCTCTCCGCGTCATCGGTCAGGAGGCCGTGCTTCAGCATGTCGGTCCTGACGCCCGTGTACTCGTTCAAGAACTTGGCGACGCCCTCCGGGTTCGCGTCCTTGGGCAAGGACAACCTGCTGTAGCGCCGGACCGCCTCGTTGGACTCGTGTTCGTCGTCGAGGTGGACGGCCCGCTTCAGCCTGCGCTCGTAGCGAGACCAGTAGAGGTCCCATTGCGGATCGTCCCGAACACGAACCAGCTTCTGGAAAGCCTCCTCGCCACCCATCTCGGTAACGATCATGTCTTCGAGCTCGATCTTCGCGGTGCCCACAGCGATGGCCCTCGCGCCCTCGAACCAGATCGCCTTGCTGTTCTGGCGCGCTTCGTTCTGGTAGGTGCGGAACTTCTCAAGCTCGACTTTCAAGGTGCTCGCATCCTTGCCCGTGAGCGAAGGCTTCGCTGGCTTCAGCTTCGACTGGGATTCGCGCTGCGCCTCGGCCAAGCTCTCCTGGGCGCGCGTAAGCCCCCTCAGCAGCGCGCTCTGCTCCTCGACCCCAGCACGCTGCTGGTCGGCCATCTGGCGCATGAGCTCCATCATGGCTGCGGCGATGCCAGCGTCCTGGGACGATGCACCCGGCGTTGCCGCCGACCGCCTCGAGAGTCCTGGTGGGACCGCAGGTCCTGGATCGACGGGTCCAGTCCGACTGCCGAAATCCATGTCGTCCTGCTGCTCCCAATGGCCTTCGGCGTACTCATGCTCATGCGGTCCTGGAGCTTGGATGTCCATCAGCTCCTCGGCCGCCCTCGCCAAGGCCGCCTTCTCGTCCCTCAACTCGCGGGACTCGGCGCGCAACTCGTCGACCTCGTGCTCGTAGTATTCCTTCTCGGTGTTGTGCAAAGCCTGGCTTGCGGAGAAATTCACCCTGGCCGAATCTGCGCCTCGCTTGTGTTCCCGCTCCTCGTGCTGAGCTGATTCGACCTTCATGTCGCACTCAGCCCACGCAGCCGCGATCTGCCTGGACGCCTCGGCCTCCGCCATCTCGCACTTCATGGCCGCGTCGTTGAGCTCCCCGCGCAGCTGGGCGTCCGACGACTGGGCACGTGTAGTCAGCCGCCGACGCGCCAACTGCGCGATCTCGGACTCCTCCTGCAACTTGAAATTCAAGTCGCTCGCCTCCGCCTTGAGACGCTCGAAGTCCTGGTCCTTTGCGATGCCTCTCTGCTGCACCTTCGCCTCGGCGCTCTGGACCTGCTCGGTCGCCTCGGTCCACTCGGCCTGAAGCGTGTCTCGCGCCCTCTTAATCGCTCCGACTTCAGACCGCAGCTCGTTCTCACGACCTGTAACCAAGACGTGATTGGCCTCGGCATCCAAGACCCGCATCTCGGCATTGTGGACATCCCTGGACCGCACCATCGCAGCGTCGCGCTCCTCGACGCACTGCTGCAACTCCTGCTGGATGTGGGTGGTAGCCGCATGCCGAGCACGACCGATCTGCTGCTCGTACTCGCGCTTCTCGTGGTTCAAGTACTGCTTGGCCTCGTCGTACTCGAGCCTGAGGCCGTCCCTCGCCGTCTCGAGCTCTGCCTCAGTGACCCTCAAGCGCATACCTACGGTCTCCAGCTCGTGCCTGCCCTGCTGGAGGTCAACGATGCCGGCCACATAGGTGCTGATCTGCTGCTGGAGCTCCACATCGTTGCGGCGCTCGACGCCAACCTGCACGATTCGGCGCTCCACGGTCTGGCTCTCGGCGAAACGCCATCTCTCTGCTGGCTCGCCACCGAAGACCGGCGGCGCTGCCAGCCCAGCGCTTCCCTCGCCTCTGGCCAATGGCTCACGCGAACCTGGACCACCCTGAGCTGCGACGGCCAGGCTGGCGACGTCCATCGGCCGCCCGGGACTTGGCAGGGCCAGCCGCGCCGGCGAGCCCACTCGGTACGGCTCCCGGCGCCTGGACGCCGATCCCGCTCGTGCAGGCCCTGATCCTCCGGCAGGGGCGTTTCTGTCTGGATTCATTCCTCTGGAGAGCACCTCGACTGATGAAATGCTCCCCAGTGTGTCCACCAAATTTGCCCAATATTCCAAGCAATACTGGTTCGGGAAGGTACTATAACAATACTGACAGTGACAAATCGACAAACGATTCGATGACAATAATGTATTTTACCTCGGTCTTGAGCCAAAGTGGTTACAATCCACAGTCCTCTCGTGCACCTGCTGCGCCCTACGCTCGTGCATGCGCAAATGCTCTGCTGACCAGTTCTCGTGCTATAGTACTGCTAGCGGGCTGAAAATCCTGCGAATCTCAACTGTGCAACCTGCTGCGTTCGACACTGGTGGCCTCGGGACCCAGAGAGCGCTGCACAACCTGTATGCTGCCAGACGCTCGGCGGCCGAGCCATAGCGACGCATGTGTCGCTATGGGTCGGGGGAATTCGAAGATCTGCTTCTGTGACCCTAGCGGCCTGAGATTGAGACAGGACGCAGCGGCGCACCTTACAATGCAAAACTCGGGAGAAATCGGCCCCCTGGCCCCACAGAGTCGGCAGCCAGACGTGTTAGCAGATTCGGGAAACATTTCGGAAATTATTTCCGAAAGGGTTCCGAAAATCGACATTCAAGAAAATGCACCCAGGGCCCACAGCTTCAAGCCACAATGGGAAGTTGACTACCCTGAATGAGAATACAATGACTAGCAAGCTCTAGCAAATGCAAACGCGCTTTTACTGGAAGGCTGAATTTGGTGCATGAGTACGGAATGACACAGGTGAAGGATATCATTTACAGAAGTGAGGGGAACACGCTTGGGGTAAGTTTCACGCCCAACACTGCAATGCCAAGCAATGCCGCTTAGGAAACGTTCCCCTAATAGGGGTCGCGCAGGGTCCATTTCTCATTTTCGATCCTCGGGGGTGTTCGCCACGCTGCTGTGCCAATGCACCTGCGCCGCCAAGGCTGCCGCCCGGGCATGGTCCGCTACCGCGTTCTCCAGGCGCTCGCGATCTGCGGCGAGACGGCCATTGGCGGCGGACATCTCGCTGACCTTGGCGCGGGCTGCCGCCAGCTGCTCAGAGGTGTGCTCCACCCAATCGCGGAGGGGCACCGCTTGGGCTTCCGCCTCGCTGTGCTCCTCCTTGATCTTGCGCCCCTCGGCTTCCGTGTGCACCAGCAGCTTCCTCATCGCGGCGGCCTCGTCGCGCGCAGCCCTCGCCTCCGCCTCGGCGTGCTCCAGCGCGTGGACCTAGGGAAACAGAAGGTACCCATACCCGCTACTCCCCGAACCTCTCCCGGGGTGCACTCTGACCAGCACTTTGAGCCGAATCCAGCCGTGGCGGCGAGGGCCTCCCGAGGAGGAGGAGGAGGAGGAGGAGGAGGAGGAGGAGGAGGAGGAGGAGGAGGAGGAGGAGGAGGAGGAGGAGGAGGAGGAGGAGGAGGAGGAGGAGGAGGGGAGGCGCCAAGAGGGGAGCACGAAGGAGCGGCAGCGGCATCGGCACTGTCTCCCCCTCCGAAGGGCCGAGGTGCGCTCCCGCAGGCGGCGCAGCTGCTCCTCGGCGCTGGCCACCTCCTGCAGCAGCACGTGCAGGGCAGCTTGTAATACATAGGACTTTTAAGCATACCGGATGTTTAATCCATGATTAATGTATGAATGAACTTATGCATGAACTCATCGTTGTTTTGAATACTAAATCCCTGCATTTTTCATACATGATCCGCACGCGGAGCATGTATTAAAAACGGCACTGTGAGAGTGACCCGGCGTGGCCTCTGGCGCGCGCCTTCTGGGGGGCGCGACGGGGCAAGGCCCGAGCGCGCAGGCCGCTGCCATCGCATCGGATTAAGCGACCTGGGGGCCCAGTGGGTCCGCACCAAGGGGCATTCCGGCGACATGGATCGACCCAGACAGTGTTTTCCGTTTTCGTTATGTTTTCCTCTTCCCTCGTCTCGTCTTCACTCCGCCTTTGCCGCAAAACGACATCGAAACGAAAATGGCCCACGAACTCGCCCCAACACCGTTGAGGTCGACCCCTGTCCAGCGAAGGGTTGCTCTTACACGCAGTCGACTCCTGCAGCAGCACGTCGCCGTGCGCGTCTGGCTCCGGCGGCGCCTCCGCGGCGCACGCCTCGCCAAGCTCGCCTTCGGCGCCCGCCTCGCCGCGTTGCTCCTGGGGAAGCCACGAGGCACCGATGCCGCCACTCCCCCGGGACCTCTCCCTCTCGATGGGACGCAGAAAGAACCAGAGATCCAACGTATTCAAACACATCGTAACAGAAATGTCTCGACCCTTTCGGCCTCCAAGGGCCCTCGCCGGGCCCTGAGACCGTCAAACAACGACTCAGGATAAAACCGGTGACACGGAATGGGTCGAACAATGTTATAGGGGAGGTGCCTCGCTTTCGGGGCGGAGGACAACCTGGGGTTTGGTACCCTAATCCAAATTTTATTTGCGCCAAACGGGGTGGCAGTTCGGAAACGGCAAGCCACGTGGGACATCCTCACAGAAATGGCTGCCTTGACGGTTCGCACTCGGTTCGAAACAATATAATTCGGTTCGCAACAAAGAAACATTAACGTTTCGCGTGGGACTTTCCTCAGCATACGGCGTCCGACCCGGTTCGAAACAAAAGGATGACGGTTCGAAAACGGCCAATCGCGTGGGGCATCCTCACAACAATTGCTGTCTTGACGGTTCGAACTCGGTTCGAAACAATATAATCTGGTTCCAAACATTTCGAAAACGAGCGTTTCGATTGGGACCTCCCTCAAAATGCGATTGGAACCTGGTTCCGCACAGTGGGATGGCGGTTCCAAAATGCCACACCGCGTGGGGCGTCCTCGCCAAAATGGCTTTCCTGACGGTTCCACAGCGATTCCAAACAAGAGAAGTGGGTTCCGAACAATCAGAAAGCGGGCGTTTCGCTTGAGACGTCCTTGGACATACACGTGGAATCTGGCCCCAAACAAGTCCCAAACAAAATAATCGCGCGGGACATCCCCTGCAAATGGCGTGCGCGCCATTCCAAACAACGACGGCCGCGGTGACGACGACGGCGACCACGACGACGACCACAACGATATGCGCTCTCGCCTCGCCGCCGGCCACGCTTGGCCGCGTCTCGGTCTGGCCGACCTCTCTCCCTTCAGCAAGGAGAAGCCCACGGGGCAGCGCTTCCACCCTGCGGGAAGGGGACGTGCTGGGGGAGACAAAGCCACCCTTCCCCGGGGACATACTGCTGTCATCCCCAAACACGGACTTTAAGAGCCAAGCCGCCTGTCAGGGCTACTTTCTGCTTGTGTCGCTCTGAGGACGGTCCAAGCAAAACTGGGCCCAAACCAAGCCAAACCAAGCAAATTGTGAGGACGTCTCCAGCACATCTGGGCCCAAACCAGGCCAAACCAAGCAAATTGTGAGGACGTCTCCAGCAAAACCGGGCCCAAACCAGACCAAACCAGCGGCCTAACCAAGCAAATTCGGAGGATGTCTCAGGCGGTTTGCGTCGCCCAACGAAGCCCAAACCAGGCCAAACCAGGGTCCAAAGCAGGCAGATTTCGAGGACGTCCCAAGCAAAATCGACCAAACAAGGCTCCACCCACTCTCCTTAGTAAAGTTCGAATTAAAGGAATTGACCACCCCAGGCCCCCCGGCGCGAGCCCGTTTAGAATTTTATGGGGGCAAGTTTGGACCACATGTCCGGTGAGGCGGACGGGGTTGGGTGCACAAGGCTTCGTTCGTCTTTCGGCTGTTCTTGGGATCTTGGTGTGGCGTAAGGGGACATGTTTCCGAGTCTGTAGTGCTACGCGTCCTCCTTGGAGGCGTGCGTTCGAACCGAACATGTAGTACACACACACATCTTATAGTGTATCGTTTCCCGCGCTGTATGGCGAGGAAACGCCCGCCACGGCGCATATGCAGAAAGATTCCTGAGGGCGCGTGTCGCTCCTTTGGGGGCGACGCACACATAGTATCAATATACCTGGGTGGCGCCGATCTTGAGGATCCAGCCGTGGCGCCGAGGGCCTCCAGGGAGGCCCCCAAGCAGCGACGACCCAGGGAACCGACGTATTGTTTTTTTCCCATGTGGGCCCCCAACAGTGCCGAACTTTTTCTTTCCAAGGCCGGCCTTTCATCCTGACTAGTTCCCCACATGCTTAGTGGGATTATTTTTTCTTCCCTGCCGCGTCGCACCCGCGTCCTCTCCCTCACTCACCTCCCTCTTCCCCTGTTCTTCTTTCCTCCCCTACAGACACACAGACACACAGACACACACAACCACACACAGACACATACAACCACACACAGACACGGCCGCACACACATCAGACACTTACACACCACACACCACACAACACAGACACTGACGCAAGGCACGGCAGGGGTGGCATTTCCTCGACGCCACAGGGGGTGCGCTGGGGGTGGGGACGCTATGCGTTGCAAAGCGTGTCAGGCGTGGGTGTTCCTCGACGCCACAATGGCTGCGCTGAGGGTGCGGTCGCTATCCGTCGTACGCTCGCAAAGTGTGGCATGCGTGACAGTTTCTCGATGCCACGAGGGGGTGCGCTAGGGGTGCGGTCGCAATCCGTCGTACGCTTGCAAAGCGTGGCAGGCGTGCAATTTATCGACACCACAGGCGGGTGCGCAGGGGGTGTGGTCGCAATCCGTCGTATGCTAGCAAAGCGTGGCAAGCGTGCACTTTATCGGCGCCGCAAGGAAGTGCGCAGGGGGTGCGCTCGCTATCCGTCGCACGCTCTCAAAGCGTGTCAAGCGTGGCTGTTTCTCGATGCCACAAGGGGTGCGCTGGGGGTGCGGTCGCTCTCCGTCGTACACTCGCAAAGCGTGGCAGGCGTGACACCTTTCTCGACGCCACGAGAGTGTGCGCTGGGGGTGCGGTTGCTATCCGTCGTACGCTCGCAAGGCGTGGCAATCGTGTATTTTCTCTTGACACCACGGGGGGGTGCGCAGGGGGTGCGCTCGCTATCCGTCGCACGCTCTCAAAACGTGTCAAGCGTGGCTGTTTCTCGATGCCACAAGGGGTGCGCTGGGGGTGCGGTCGCTCTCCGTCGTACACTCGCAAAGCGTGGCAGGCGTGACACTTTCTCGATGCAGCGAGGGTGTGCGCTGGGGGTGCGGTTGCTACCCGTCGTACGCTCGCAAGGCGTGGCAATCGTGTATTTTCTCTTGACACCACGGGGGGGTGCGCAGGGGGTGCGCTCGCTATCCGTCGCACGCTCTCAAAACGTGTCAGGCGTGGCTGTTTCTCGACGCCACAGGGGGTATGCAGGGGGTGCGGTCGCAATGCGTTGCAGGCTCGCACGGCACGGCAGGCGTGGCATTTCGTCGACGCCACAGGGGGTGCGCTGGGGGTGTGGGCGCTATGCGTTGCATGCTCCCGCTATGCGTTGCAGGCTCGCAAGGCATAGCAAGCGTGGCATTTCCTTGACGCCACAAGGGGTGCGCTGGGGGTGGGGGCGCTATGCGTTGCAGGCTCGCAGGGCACGGCAGGCGTGGCATGTCCACGACGCCACAAAGGGTGCGCTGGGGGTGGGGGCGCTATGCGTTGCATGCTCTCGCTATGCGTTGCAAGCTCGCAAGGCATAGCAAACGTGGCAGTTCCTTGACGCCGCAGGGGGTGCATTGGGGGTGGGGGCGCTGTGCGTTGCAGGCTCGCAGGGCACAGCAGGCGTGGCATGTCCACGACGCCACAGGGGGTGCGCTGGGGGTGGGGGCGCTATGCGTTGCATGCTCCCGCTATGCGTTGCAGGCTCGCAAGCCGTAGCAAGCGTGGCATTTCCTCGACGCCACAGGGGGTGCGCTGGGGGTGGGGGCGCTATGCGTTGCAGGCTCGCAGGGCACGGCAGGCGTGGCATTTCCTTGACGCCACATGGGGGTGCGCTGAGGGTGCGGGCGCTATCCGCCCTGGTCGTCCACGGCACAACAGGCGTGGCACGTATGTTGCACGTCATCTATGCTAAAATACGAATTCAAGAGATGTGAGTGGGGTTCCTCGGTAGCGCCCCTTTTTTTACTGTCCCGGGGAGCTAGGGCCTCTCGAGGCGGAAACGGCGGAAAACCTCCGCCTTGGTTTTTTGTCAATGCGTTGGATCTCTGGGAACGGGGCAAGGGCAGCGGTATCGGTACGGACAACAAGGTACGATGCCCGACAGCAACTGCTGCCCAAAACCGACGGCGGCCGCCGTGGGCAGGCGACCGTTTGACTCAGAAACGAAGAGGGACGGTCGGGGGGCCACGCTCAGGGAGGGAAAACGTCGACCTGGAATCGGCACCATGTCGACGAGAGGCCCCCGGCAGGCGCATCCGCGCGTGCGTGCCTTTTCCTCCTCGCACCTCCGCGGGCGAGACCTGCGGCGGGCAGCGCCAGCTCTCCGCTCGCGGCAGCGCCTCGCTGGCACTGCACGCGGGCGAGGCGCTGCCGCGCGCGGCCGCCTCCCGCAGCGTGGCGGCGGGTGGCGCGCCGCGCCACGGCGGCGGGGTCGCCTCCGTCGAGGCCTGCGCCGTGAGCTCGGCGAGCCTGTCGAGCAGCTGGCAGCGCACGCGCTCGGCGTCCTCGGCCGCGCGCGCCTCGCGCACGGCGCGGTCCCGCGCGATGCAGAGCTCCTCCTCGGACGTCGTCAGCGCGTCCTGGGTGACCGGCTCAGGGCGGGGAAACATCGAGCTGGAATCGGCGACGCATCGCCGACAGATCGGCGATAGTTATGGGCCCCCGAGGGCGAGTCCGCACCGTCCTGGGCAGGGGGGGTGCCGTCGGGCCGCTTTCGGCGACGGATGGGCGAACGGGGGACGATGCATCCCACCCTGAGCCTGCGGTCGGGAACTTGTGCTTAGCGTGTCGCTGCGGCCGCCCCAGCGACACGCTATGCCCTGCGAGCGGATCGCGTGTTCCTCCGCTCCGAGGGGCGGGAGGCTAGGAAAAGCTCGGGACGTTGACGGTGGGGGGCCAGGAAGTGGAAAGAGCGTGCCGCGCAGAAACGTGGTGGGCCAGAACTGGCGGCGCGGCACTCCATCCCAAAGTTCCCGAGCGTATCCCCCCTAACCGAGGATAGCACAACCCTTGCCATCCCCACAGGACCCCCACTCCCGACCTGATGAACCAGGGGGCCCTGGCTGGGGGTGAGGGCCGTTTTGGCCCCCAGACGTACCCCAAAACCATCCCCATTCCAAGCCAGGACCCCAGGATCATGGGGTTCCTGGCTGGGGGTGGGGGAGGGTTGTGCTTTCCTCGCTACTCGCTATCGCTCCGACGTTCATTCCCCGTGCACTCTTCTGCCTCGTGCGTCCACTTGTTTGCAGGATGGCCGAGATGCTCCTCGATGGCCCCTGGCCGAAGAAAGCACATGCACACTTCCGAGCGACTTGCCGTCGCTCGGGCGTCCATTTCCCGTACATTTGTCGGTCTCGTGCGTGTTTTTTTGTGCTCGATGGTCCAGGATGGTCCTCGATGGTTCTCGCCGAGCAAACATGCACATGTCCGAGCGATGCCAAGGCGGTGCCAAGACTCCACCCGCGCTGCCCCCGAGGCCTGCAGCCTCTGCAGCTCCCTGCGCGTGCCCTGCGCCCGCCGCTGCAGCTCCTCCGCCTGCGGCCGGCCGCCGCGCGCACGAGGGGGGGGGCACCCTGCCCGGAGAGGCCGCTGGCGCGCGGCCCCTGGGACCATGCGGGGGGGGCCGCTGCCCAGAGATCTGCGATGTCGTGATTTTTCCCATGCGCGGCCCCCCGAAGTCTCGACCCCTTCCCCAGGACCGGTTCCTCGTCCCGAGTCGTTTTTCGACGGTCCCGGGGCCCGGCGAGGGCCCCTATGGAGGCCGAAAATGTAGAAAAGCCTCCGTCTTGATGTTTTCAGTCTGGGGAGGGGGCCCCCGCGTCGGCGGCCGCAGCGGGGGCGGGCCACTTGCCCACGTCGTGGGGGGCACACCACGCGCACCCGTGGGAGGGTCCCGGCCGCCCACGCCTGCGGCGAGGCTGCCCGGCAGCCGCGTGCCGTGCCCGCCCCGTGGGCGGGCCACCCCTCCCTGCTCTGCTGGCGCTCCAGGGCCGCTGGAGGCGTGGGCCGCTGGAGGTCTGGACCACTCGGCGGCGGACAAACCTCCCTTTAGTAAACCTCCCCTTAGTGAAAACGACCCAGGGCCGAAATCGACGGACCTGGACCCGCAAAAATGACGGCCGCGACGCCTTCTCGCGGACCGAAAACGGCCACTTCCTTAATCGACGTGTCAGGGTAGGAGGTCTGTCCACCTCCGAACCACCTCCCCGGGGGAGGCCTTTCGGCCCGAGTCGCTCCTGGACGGCCCCTATGGGGCCCGCCGAGGGCCCCCGGAGGCCGCGCACGCGGCCCCGAACCGTCCGCTCCCACTGGACCTTCTGGAGCCTCGGCGCTCGGGGCTCTCTTGGCCTTCGAAGGCCGTGGGCCGCGCGCCAGAGGCCGCTCTGGCGAGGGGGGGAGGAGATGGAGGAGAAAGAGGAGGAGGAGGAGGAGGAGGAGGAGGAGGAGGAGGCGGAGGAGGAGAGGAGGAGGAGGAGGAGGAGGAGGAGGAGGAGGAGGAGGAGGAGGAGGAGGAGGAGGAGGAGGAGAGGAGGAGAGGAGGAGGAGGAGGAGAGGAGGAGGAGGAGGAGGAGGAGGAGGAGGAGGAGGAGGAGGAGAGGAGGAGGAGGAGGAGGAGGAGGAGGAGGAGGAGGAGGAGGAGGAGGAGGAGGAGGAGGAGGGGAGGAGGAGGAGGAGGAGGAGGAGGAGGCGGAGGAGGAGGAGGAGGAGGAGGAGGAGGAGGAGGAGGAGGAGGAGGAGGAGGAGGAGAGGAGGAGGGAGGAGGAGGGAGGAGGAGGAGGAAGAGGAGGAGGAGGAGGAGGAGGAGGAGGAGGAGGAGGAGGAGGAGGAGGAGGTGGAGGAGGAGGAGGAGGAGGGAGTGCGCGCAACCGGGCCTGCTGCTCTGGGCGGCCGCGCCCCTCCGAGCCCGGGGCTGCGCGCATCCGCGGGCCTGCGCCGGCAGGGCCCCGCGCCGTACCGCAGGCGCGGGCGCGGGCCACCTCTGGCTGGGGCGGCCCGAGCCCAAATGGCTCACCACGGGGGAGCAGAGCGCGACCCACGATGCACAGTCCCAACGCCGTGCCCCTGAAGGCCAACGAAAACGGAAGGGGGGACGGGAAGGGAGTGCCAGGTCTCTGCGGATCCTCTGCTCTCCCCCTTGTCCTCATCGCTTTCATCTCATCGGTTATCTTACTCATTACAAGCAGCAGCAGCAGCAGCAGCAGCAGCAGCAGCAGCAGCAGCAGCAGCAGCAGCAGCAGCAGCAGCAGCAGCAGCAGCAGCAGCAGCAGCAGCAGCAGGGCGTCGAGACAACGGCGGCCCCCCCCCTGGCGATTTTCGCTCTCGGTGGGTCTCCTGGAGGTTTCTCGTCGCCACGCCTGGATCCGGCTCGACGAACGGGTCAGGCTGGGCCCGAGTGTCCCGGGACCAATCTTGAGCGGACCTGGGCTGGGTGGGAGAACTGCCGCTGTCTCATCGGCCCTCCTCCGACGGCAGGGGGGGAACTGGCCCAGGGGGAGGGGACCATCGACCCCCAATGCCATGCCTCGCCGATCCAGGGGCTGGGTGCCTCGTGACCTGCCCAGGAACGGGGGGTGCTCCCTCCCTCGGGGGCCCATCGCCGATGCTTCCCCTCGCCTGAGCGACCCATCCCCTTGCGGCTCCCCTGAGCCCCTGCCAGGGTGCGCCGCCCGCGTGCCTGCGCGGGCCTGCGCAGTGTGCGTTGCTCACGTGCCTGCCCTAGAGAACCTCTCGTCGCTTTCGGCTTCCGGGCGCCCTCGACGGGCCTCGGGACCGTGGAAAAACTACTCGGGATGAAAAACTGGCCTGGGGCTGTCGAGGACCGCGTGCTGTTAAACTATCGCCTGTCGGGGTGCGGCCCTTGACTCGGTGCTGGTGAGAGCCGCGATGCCGTGCTCGAGGCAGCGCCCTCGCGTCGTCGCACAGGGGGCCCTGGGACGCTCCCGCGACGGGTGGGGGGCAGCCTCCGGCAACACGGGCCATCTGCGAACGCAGGAGGTCGGAAGCGCGCTGGCGTTCGGCGGAGCCCGTCGGCTCGGAGGCGAGCCGAGCCAGACAGCAGCGGCTCCGCCGCCCGGCCGCCCACAACCGCTCCCGAAGCTGGCCGGAGGTCCCTCCTGGCCCCCGCTTTCCGAGGCGGCCCCCCAGCCGCGGCGACACGAAGCCCCCCAGGGAGGCCCGGCGGGGGCGAGGGCCGCGCCGAGGGCGGGCGGCCGCGGCCCCTCGGCGGGCCCTCCTCCGAGCACGAGGCCTCGCGGGCGGGCCCCCCGCCAGGCGTCTGGGCGAGGCCCCGCGCGGAGGCGGGGGCCTCCACTGGCCATCGCTCGGACGTCCATTCCCCGTGCATTTTTCGATTTCGTGCGTGCACTTTTCGCGAGATGGACCAACATTCTCCTCGATGGTCTTCGCCGAGAAAAAATGCACACGTCCGATCCAGAGCGGAGGAGCGCGCCAGCCCTGCGCACGCACCGCGCGGCCGCGGCGCGTGCGCTGGTTCGCCTCGCCGTCCGGGGGCTCTGGCAGACCTCTATAGAGCCTGCCGCCCCCTCGCCTGGGGCGGAGCCTGCCGGAGGAGCCCTCGCACGGCTCTCCGCAGGTGCCCTGCGCGGGCGCCCGACTTGGGGAAGCTCTGGTAGTTAGCTCCGTCCGACCTAGCTGCTTGAGCCGAACTGGCTTGTGCGGCCTGGTGCCGAAGTCGGACCGCACTTGCAACTGTTGGTCGTCGTCGTCGTCGTCGTCGCCGTCGTCGTCGTCCTCCTCCTCCTCCTCCTCCTCCTCCTCCTTCTCTCCTTCCTGCCAGGGAGCCAGAAACACGAATGGCTGGATTTACATCGCATTCCCGCTGGCGCGATACACGTGTGGAGGACCACCGTGCCTTGCCATGCGAGGTCCGAGCGCTGGAGCGACATGCGGCCGCATGCCACCCCCAGCTCTCGCCCCGGCCGGCCACGTCACGCATACCCGGCCTCCTCGTGGGCGAGCCGGGCGACGGCAGCGGCAGCGGCGACGGCGACCGCAGCGACTGTGACGGCGACAGCGCGACGGCGACGGCCGCAACGAGGACCCCAGACCTCCCTGGAGATCCGACGTTGCGAGAAAAACGCAACATCCCTGGCTTCTCCCCCCAGACATGCGACATCCTGATTTTTTCAATGCGGGGGTCCTGGAAGTCCCGACCATTTCCCCGGGACCGGTTTTTCATCCTGAGTCGTTTTTTGACGGTCCCGAGGCCTGGCGAGGGCTCCCACGGCCCGAAAACGGCCGAAAACCTCGCGTCCTGATTTTTTTTACCACGCGATTATGTCTGGGTCCCCGAGGCACCAAGCGGGAAAACGCGACAAGGACTGCGACGCCCACATCTTAGCCCAGTGCCGCGAGAAGTCCACCACGGGCCTGGCTCCCCGCTTCTCTGGCCGTCCTCGGGCGTTGCGCGATGGGGGGAGATGAGTGGGGGCGGGTAACCATGCACCTTTCGTGCCCCATTTGGGCCCCAGGGAGCCCTTTTTTTGAGCAGGGACCGACCGTCCCGGCATTACTACATGCCTACCACGACATGTTCTTAGAACCCCAAATGTTCAAAGAGTGCAAGCAATGTTCTTAGAACATACGTCCGATGTGTTACAACACGACAGTCTCGGCCAGACATGTTCTAAGAACGTTTCGTTAAGACCACAAAGGGTTCTTAGAACATTTTTTGGTGGGCCCACGGGCCAGCCAGGACGCCTCGCCACAGCTTGCCTCTTCGGCCCAGCAACAGCGGTCGCTGAGATCCGACGGCGCGGAAAAATCTGAACTTCGTCGACCAATCACGACTGGAGCCCCTGACACCATCTTTCTGAACCATTTTCCGAGCCGCGTCGATCTGCAAGGGTCCCGTGGCCCCCAATCGTGCAAAAACGCCGGGCTCGACAAAATCGAGACGCCAGGATCTCAGGGTCCCCCCTTTCATCTATCGCCCCCCCCCCCCCACACACGCACTACGCAACGCTCAAACGGGCCCGTCTCCCTGCTGCTTCGGCCGTCCTGACTCCTGACCAGGGCGCGCTCCCCTGGATTCCGCTTCATTTCGTCCAAATTCCACCTCGTCAGATTCGATTCGTCCGCTCTCATCCGTCCAGAAGACACGAAAGGGGACGAAACGAAAGGGGACGACTCGAAAGATGACGACAAGAAAGCGGACGAAAGGACCGTCCACCGGGCCTTCGGCAGGCCTCGCGGGGTGGTCCTCGGCGGGCCTCGCGGGGGTCCCTCGGAGGGCCTCGTGGGGGCCCCGCGGGGCACGCCGACGGCCCCGAGGGCGAGCCCCCTCGGCCGGCCTCGCCGGCGTCCCTCGGAGGGCCTCGGGAGGCCGGCCGGGGTGGGGCGGGTGGGGCCTCGGAGGGACCTGCACCGAGATCTTGGCGTCTCGATGTTTTTTTCGAGCCGGGCGTTTCTTGCCTCACTTCGGGCCACGGGGCCCTCACGGATGGATGCGGGTCGAGAGATGGCGCAGGCTGACGACCTGACGACGGGGTCCAGGGCCCTGGACGTGGTTTCTGCCGATGCTGCAATTTGTTTTCGCAGCGTCGGATCTCAGGGTGGGGGACCTCGGGGGAGGCACCTCGGAGGGATGGGGCCCAGAAGGCCCCCCGTTGGGACCCCCGCGCCGTGGAGGAAGCAGGAGGGCCACCCAGACATCCAATGGGCCGCTGTTTCCACGCCGCAGTCCCTGCCACTTCCCCAGGGGCAGCTCTTCGCCCCAGGCCATGCCGTGCTTGACGGTCCTGGGGCCCGAGAGTGGCCCGCAGGGGGCCGGCCTCAGGGAACAAACGCCAGGAGAGAACACACCGATCCGCCCGGAGTTGGCGGCGCGCACAAGGGGGTGGAGGGAGGGGGGAGGGCCTCTTAGAAGGAGGCTGCTTCTTAGGGGGCGCCGGCCTTACATCTACAGATGGGGCCCGCGCCTTCTGAGAAGCAGGGTCGGCGGTGGACAACTCTCCCTTTAGTGAACCCCCCTTAGTGAAAACGGCCTGGGACCGAAACCGACGGACCTGGACCCGCAAAAATGACGGCCGCGACGCCCTCTCGCGAACCGAAAGCGGCCAATTCCTGAATCGACGTGCCAGGGGTAGGAGGTCTGTCCACCCCCGACAGGTGTGCTTCTGAGACGCCCTCCCCCCTCCCCCCCCTTTTTTGGACGCCCGAAATGGGTGCGGAAAAAAGGGTACAATGCCCAACAACAAATGTTGTCCCAAACCGACAGCGGCCGCTGTTGGGCAGGCGGCCCTGTTTCAAATGGATACAGTTTGCGGCGGCGCGGACAGCGAGTCCTGTTCAACATGAGCAGGAACTGCTGTTGGGCATTGTACCCATTCTTCCCGTGGCCATTTCGTTCGTGCAGACCTCTGCGCGTGGCTGACGAGGCCTGGGCACGGCGTCGGGGGTCTGGCCAAGGGCGGCGGCGGCGGGACGCGCGGCCCGCGCTGCATGGCCGAAGGCCGCTGGGGCGGTGGGGCGCCTCTTGGGAAAAGCGACAGCTCGCAGGGCAGCCCGAGGGAGTCCGGCGGGCAGCGGCTGCCGTGGCAGAGGCCGTGCTGCTTCAGGAGCACGCGGCGCACACGGAGGCGGCATCCTGGAAAGGAAAAGCTTCCAGGGGGGGAGGCGGAGGAGGGGGGGCGAGAAGGTGAAGGAGGATGACGAACGAACGAACGACTCTGCAGAGGCGTGTCAGCTGATCCTTTGAAATCAACGACAGAAGATTTCCAGGGCTGGCTCGCTTCTAGAAGGCGCTGTGATGTGAAGCTACTCATCACGCGTGGCACTCGGTGCACTTGTGCTCCCGCCCACCCCCTACCTCGGCTGAAAGCCCGCGCTTTAAATGCTGGGCATGGCCGTAGGGTCAGGGGCAGAGAGGGGGGGAAACGAACGGCGTCGGGGACCGCCTTAGACTAGACGAATGGAACCCCCCCGACATACGAAACAAACAACTCAAAGCTAACGAGACACGGGCAGGGCAGTCTACGGCCCGCGGGCCAACACGACAAGTTAAACCGATACTCATCTGAGAGGTCTCTGGAGCCCCAGGAGGCCCAATCTATTACTAAAGGGGAGAGGAGGCGTCGAAGAGGAAGCGGAAGAGGTCGGCTCAGCAGCGGCGGCAGCATTTCTAAGCCTAGGCGAACTTGCAGAGGCGGGAGTAGCCGCGCAGGGTCCACTGGAGGCCGTAGTGTAGGGACAGAGCTCGATTGCCTCTGGGTTCTCGTGGATCTCATACCCGTTGCCGTAGAGAGTGCCATCGGCGATCCAGTCGTGCCCGAAATAGTCGGGGACGCGGCACTCTGTGTCGGTCGGGCAACAATTGCTCTGCGGTGAAGGCGTGATCGACCGATACTCAAAAACAACATGCGATCTGACTCTTGCTTGTCTCGAAGCGGTGCCCCCAGAAGGGGGTCGGCTCAGAGAATTCTATGGTCCCCGCACCACTGAAACAAGCGTGGGCACCGTCTGTGACGGGATTGGGGGCCATCTCATCATAGCCTACCCTCGGGACAAGCGAGCGGTTTTCCTCGACGCGTGAGGTCGGATCCTGTTGTGAGTCGCTTAGCGGCGAAGGAGCTGCAACAACCTGCTGCTCGGACTCTGGTTGCAGTCCAATGGTTTGCCAACTTTCACTCGCACCAGAGCTCGGGGCAACTTGCTGCAACGGTCGCTTTGCCGCCTCTAAGAGCCGTGCTGCTGATTCGCGTCGAGATGCAGCTGCAGAGTCCGTTAGTTGTGACTGCGAGGAGGGGTCCCGTGCTTGTGTGCCCCTCCGATCTGCACCAGAACCTGCACCACAATATCCTCCATGCCTGTCGCTTTGGCCTCGATCCAGTTTTGGATTTTGTCCTGCGCATGAGTCTGCAGTGCCGAACCACATCTGCTAGGTCGCCGTTGGACAACTTCTCGTGCTTGAGCTTCTCTGGGCAGCCTTGGGCTTGGTTGCGTTCGTCTGTCCTACTTTGTCTCCTTGTGCCACGAGCGCGCCGATGAGTGAAACCCACACGTGTGGATGTGGGATTCCGAGCTCTTCCAGCTCTGGAACGAGTTCGCCATTCTTGATTGCCTCCTGGTGGTGATCGCGGAGCCTGTTGGCCTCCTGCCCGTAGTAGCGCGCTGTGAGCATCATCGGCTGCGGCACGTCGTGGCTGGTCGGAAGCTGGACGTGACGAAAGAAGGCCGACTCCACTAATCTGAGTCGATGTTCGTGCCCGAGTGCCATCCTCATCAAGATGGGCGTCATCGCCTGCACCCACTGGATCGGCATCGTCTGCATGTCGGTGAGGCCTCCCTCGCGTAGTCCGTAGTGGTTGTCGGTGGCGGCCCAGACGTCATTGAGCGCCCTGGCGTGCTGGGGCCTCGCCGCCTGGGGTCCCCAAGGAGGGGGCTGCTGGGGCTGGGCCCGCGGTCCTGGGCCACCGCGGCGACCTCGATCTCCGCTGCGAATCCGATCGCCGCACCCAGCGGCGAGTTCTCCGCGCCGCTGCTCCGTCCCAGTCGCGAATGCCCTGTCCGCGAGGTTCGACATCTATCACAAGATCGGGCGGCGGTGGGGCGTGAATTCTCGGATGTGTGCCTGAAGCGCCTGTGGACTAGGAAACTCGCCTTGAGCCAGTACGGCTCCAGACAAGGATTCACGAAAGGCCTCGTGCGCACACTCTGGGTGCACGCAGATCGGGCAGTGTAAGTCGTCGGGCGCTCTCAGCGGGGGTGAGTACGCACTGTAATCTGTCGGGCGCCTGCGACGCTTCAACGATTGCACAACATGTCTCTTGGCAAGCAGCACAAACGAGAAGGTGGGCGAGCAATCGCAACATTGGTTGGTCACCACGAGCTGATGCATAGGTACCCTGATCTTGTGTGACGGGTGGTGGCACCTGTGCGCTCGCAAGGCCGCCCTGGAGTAGAAGACCTGGCCACAAGGGTCCCCGCCGTCGCCTGGATGCTCACAGTAGAACTCTTGAGGGGGACCTTCAGGGACTGGAGGAACTTCAGGGGCACCGGACGCATGGAGTTCAGAGGGTAGCTGAAGGGGTCCATTGCGAGCCTGCTCCCAATAGGCCTTGCGGAAGTCCTTGGCGTCTATGCTCCTAAAGTGTGCAGCGACTCTAAGGTTAGTGAATATGTCTTTGATGCCATGGCCCTTGTCTAAGAAGTATTTCCCATAAGGGATGGCTTTTAGGAGCTTCACATCTCTTTGCAACTGCAGGGCCCATGGATTGGCACCAGGTCGGATCCAACCGGAGGGGGATGAACGTCGGGGATTCGCCAAGCGCCTTGAACTGCCCAAAAAGAACCGCAACTACCTGCACATAATCATCTGGATGAAAGGCCAGACGCTGCCAGTAACCGAGACGACGAATCAACAGCTCGGTTCTAGCATCTGCGATCCTCAACTTTTTATGCATCAACCACGCCGACGGGGTCCGAATGCGATCCCCGCCCGGACCAGCATGACGAGCGACCCCTCGAAGAGCGACTTTTGCAAACCCCAAGATGACCGAGTCCAGCTTCGCAAACTCCCGCTTCCCCAGAGTGTAGACCTCAAGGCCCGAGAAGGCCGCACTGTGGATCACCCACGAGAAAGCCAGGCGCTTAAGTTTCAGGGACGTGTGTTGATTCCAGAATCGGCCTAGCTTCGACCAAGCTGCTCTCGTAGCGTCTACCCGAAGACGAACCTCGGCTCCAGCTCCTCCCGTGAGATGTTCCAGTCCTCCTAAGTACACCGTCTGAGCAGGAGGAGGAGGCGACATACCACGAAAACTGGGGCGCGCGAGAGACTAGAAAACGCAACATTTGTCGCGGCGCGCCCAATTCTCATTCTCACCACTGCATCCCCCGTGCTCGTGAGTTACCACCGGGACATCCATATGGGGGTCACTATGAGTGTGTGTGTGTGTGTGTGTGTGTGTGCGCGTGCGTGCGTGCGTGCGTGCGTGCGTGCGTGCGTGCGTGCGTGCGTGCGTGCGTGCGTGTGTGTGTGTGTGTGTGTGTGTGTGTGGGTCGAGGGCTGGACCATAAAAACCGAGGACGGGCTCGCCAACTAACGGCGGCAAGCCCGAGTTCTGGCGACCTCGAGCCTTACTCCTCCCCCCGACCAGGAGGAGGGGTCGAGATCCCACTGTGATCCCGCATGGAAAGGATCACGTCATCGGATCTCAGGGCTTCTGTGACCTTGGCGTGGCCCCGAGCGCGCCCGCGCAGAAGCGCGAGGCCCAGGCGGAGAGGAGCAGCGACGAGGACGACGGCGACGAAAGCGGCAACCGCTGCCTGGGGGAGAGGGAGGTGAGACTGGCAGGAGGGGGATTCAGAGGAGGAACAAGTACTGACACCGCTACCCTCGCCTCGTTTTCGCCTAGCTGGGCCTCCTTGGGAACCCTCGTCCCCACCGCTGGATTCGCCTCGACATCCTGATCAGAACGCACCCTGGGACAGGTCCGTGGAGTAGCGGTATCGGTACTTCTTGGTTTCCCCAAGGATGACGGGGAATTTGAGGATGCGGAAGGCAAACTGGACGCCAAGATTATCTGGGATAACTCCTGTGCGGGTTAGCTCCAGTTTGGCCCCCCGACGCGCGAGCGATGAATTACCACTGACCGCTCCCAGCCCCGATGATTCGGGGATGGCCAGACGCCCGAGTTATCCCAAATAACTCTGGTCTGGGGCCATTCCGGTGTGGGCCCCAGAGGCACGGATCAGGAGCACCCTGACGACCCCCAGCCCTGATGAATCGGGGCTCTGAACGGCGTTTCGGGGGAGGGGGGAGGCGGATGAGGAGCATAAAGATATTGATGAGGAGCAGCATGAGGAGGAGCAAGTGAAGCAGGAGCGTGCCGAAACGTAGTATATATAGATGTGTATATATATATATATATATATATATAGGTTGCGAACGAAGAGGAGTTGGAGGCGAATGATCAGGAATCTGATCAGGATCAGCAGGGTGAGAGGAAGGGGGGAGAGGAGGATAATCGGCAAGGAGGGTGAACAAAGTCAGAAAGAACACCACAAGGAACGTGCTGCGAATAACGTGTGCGATAAACCGGAATACCCAACCCGCAGCGCTGCACTCAAGGAACGCTTTTTGCTCCTCGACTGCTGGCCCGTCCTCAACGAGCTGCCACCAAGCACCGCGCAAAACTGCCGTCATAAACCTATAACACGAGCATCGCGTCACCGAAGCTGAAGAAACGGTAACGCTCGCTGATCGCCTCCTTGTACGCGCGCATGACTAAGTCGTAGCCGTACTTGCCCCCCTTCTGCGCGCCAGCGAAGGACGCGACGAGGCAGATGGGCCGGGAGACTTCCGACTGCGTATATCAGTCTGGTCCTCTTCCCCCTCACCTTCCCCTCTGCGTCCCTCGAGCAAGCGGGGAGAAGCCAGGAAAGATTCTCAAATTTAGGGCGGCGTGGAATGGGTGACCTTGCCATCGCTCGGACGTCCATTTCCCGTGCATTTGTCGGTTCCGTGCGTGTTTTTTTGGTCGATGGTGCAGGATGGTCCTCGATGGTTCTCGCTGGTAAAAAATGCACACGTCCGAACGATGCCAGGTGACGCTGAGACCCTGGAGCTGCCGTGCTTTTTCCACGGGGCGTTTCCGCCCAGCTTCGGGCCCCAAGACCATCGCAGATCGATCCGGCTCGGAAGCTCTTGCAGCACGATCGGGTCTGGGGCTCCTGTCTTGACTTTTTGTGATGTTGCAATTTTCCCGCAACGTCGGATCTCAGAGGAAGAGGGGGGGGATGATTGCAGCACCAGACTGGCGTATGCGGTCGGTGTCTCCGATGGGCGTCAGCCCTGGCATGTGGAAATTCGTCAGCAATGCGCCGACGGCCTTCCAATCGTGGCCGTCTGGGTATCCGCCAGTCTCGGGGACCTCTCTGGCGTTGATAATGCAATAATGCAACTTTCTTACTAGTTCCATGTTCGAACGAAACATGGCAGTTCGATTATCTCCAACTCCTACGGCCTTGCAAACACGGTGGAGCCGATCCACTCGCTGCAATATGTGGGCGAATCGTCAGAACCGGTGGGTTGCGGATTCTTACATCAACCGAACAACTTATGTTCCAGCACGCCGTTCGGAATCCCCGGCAAGCATCCGTGCAACTTCGCACCTGGATACCACCCCCGTGCAAAAGTGGTGCGGCTCCCACTTCCTGGCCACCCCAGGGGAGCCCATCACTCGACGATATCTCGAGAGGGGTGTCGACGCTACAGTCGGGGCCCTGAAGAAGGAACCCTTTTGGTTGGGGAGGGGCTCCGCGTTCCTTAAGTGTTTCACAGCTTGCCTCAGGTTTTCCTTCTGTTTTCGATCGGACATCGAAGTTTAACTTATGGGAAAAAGGGTCCTCGTTCCTTATTTAGGGTTCCTTAGGTTAACGCCCCGACTGTAATGGGTCCCGCAGGGGGGCGAGGACCACAGCCTCCCCGGTTGAGGCTGGTCTGCTGGTCCTGCTCCTCTCGCTCCTCCTCCGTCCGTCCGCGAGAGCTCCGCTGCTTCGGCAGCTCGCCGTAGAACTCCAAGGACCACCCCAAGAAGCCGCAGCCACGAAGACTGCCTGACGAGCCGCCCCGAATTGCGAGGACCTTCCATCTGCTTCGCCTGCTTGCCCGAAGTTGCCCCCCCCTCGCCCCTCCCCCCCCCCCAGGAGACCCTCCATAGTTTTAGGTCGGGCATGTCCCCTACAGGCGGATTTTGGACGACAAGTTTAAAATACACTCATTGTTAGACAAGCAGCAATTGTTAAATTTTTCTCCTGTAGAGGGACAGGCCCGCCTCAAGAATAGTTCCCAAGAACATGGCCGAGAGGCGGCCCCCGGAAATCATGAGAAGCCCCCCAGTGCCCCCCAAGATGCCCCAATCAGGCCTCAACAGGGGCCCCAACGCGGCCCCACTGCACCGCGAGGCGACGAGGACGACGCACCGTTGCACACAGCCGCGGCGGGATGCACACTTGGATCGTGCGGATGCCATGCGCCAGATGCGGATATCTTTCTTTGTTCGCGAGCGCACGCTGAAGGGCCGCGCGCCGTCCGAAGCTACAGCCAGATGCGGATGCGGAGGCCCTGCACCAACACCCGGCCACACGCGGGCCGAGCGCTGGAGAGCCTTCCAGGCCACCTGCGCACCCGGCTCGGCTCCAGGCCAGCCGTGCGGCCCGCTCCGGGCCTCCCCGAAGCCGAGAGCGTCGGCAGCTCTGAAGAGGCCCGGGGAGGCACAAAGAAATACACACAAGCACCAGGATTCCCCTTAAGCTTCCACACATGATGTATTTTCGCCTTCCCCGCCATCTCCCGCGTTTCCCCATCTTGTCCTGGGAAGTCGGCGTTTATCCGTGTCTGTGTGTGCATTTACCCCTCCTGCATCTCCTGCAACCCTGATGCGTTTTTGTTGCTTCTGCTTCGCAATCGAATCGTCGCGCCGTCTCTATTATGTTCATTTTCCCGAAAAGGGGTGCTCATTGCGCACTCTTCTGCCCGCGTGTCCTGCCAGAAATCCGGGTCAGTGGCAGCAGTGGTGCCCAAGCGCCGTGCCAGGGGCTGGCGCATGGCTTCCGCATTGTACTGTAGTGCACGCCAATGCACCCGAAAGGCGGAGTTCCCAGGACCTGCAGGCCGATGATCCTCAGCACGTGTCCCAGAGCCAACGTGTGCCTGTCTACCGAGGGCCTCCAATAAGACGCAGGCGGTGCAACCGGGCCAGCACAAGCTGCAAGCGAAATCGGGCGGAGCCGAGCGGGGCGCACACACAGTGGGCCGACACACGTTCTGAGGATCCGCGAACAAGGCTCCCAGGAGCTGCTGCCGACCCAGACTCCCGACGTCATGAGTTCTTCAAGACGTCGACCCCCAGAGGTATCGACCCATTCCCTGGGACCTGCTTTTCACCACGAATCATTTCTTGACGGCTCCGAGGCCCGCCGGGGGCCCTGGGAGGCTGAAAATAATGAAGAACCTCCCGCAGTGATTTTTCATGGCCCGAGGGAGTCTGGCTTCTGAGGATCATCGAAGAAGGCTCCCAGGAGCTGCTGCCGAACGAGTTGGCTCAGGCCGGGGGGGGTGCGGGGCTGAGGACGAGGAGGGGGAGGAGGGGGAGGATAAGGAGGAGGAGGAGGAGGAGGAGGAGGAGGAGGAGGAGGAGGAGGAGGAGAGGAGGAGGAGGAGGAGGAGGAGGAGGAGGAGGAGGAGGAGGAGGAGGAGGAGGAGGAGGAGGAGGAGGAGGAGGAGGAGGAGGACGGGGAGGAAGGAGGAGGAGGAGGAGGAGGAGGAGGAGGAGGAGGAGGAGGAGGAGGAGGAGGAGAGGGAGGAGGAGGAGGAGGAGGAGGAGGAGAAGGAGGAGGAGGAGAAGGAAGAGGAGGAGGGAGGAGGGGGCCGGCGGACGGGAGCGCAACCCCCTCGCATATGAAGAGCTCCGTGTCCTTGCCCGCCGCACCCGTGGGCACGAAGCTGGCGGGCTCTCCCTGCGGCGTGTCTGCGGCGCACGTCTCGAGCGTCCTGGCCGGACGGGGGCGACCGACGACGACCCGCGCGGTGGGGCGGCGACGGTCGCGCGGCGAGCAGAGAGGCGAACTGTACAGACACGTTCGCGTCGTGAACAACATCGGGGCAAGACATTTTTGGCCCTTTTCGGCCTCGCGGGGCCCCTCCTGCCTCGGGACCGTCAACGAAACGGCTCGGAACGGAAAGCCGGCTCCGACGGGGCTTGGCCCTGCGGGACTGGCCGGCCTCTCCTCCAGTCGGGGGGGGGGGCGTCGAGGTGGTGTAGGGGGAGAGGTGGGTTTGAAGGGCAACCGCTCTGAAAGGCATCCAGCTGGGTTCGCTCCCTAACTCAACTCTGGGACCCCCCCCGCCACCTTTCGGGGGCGCGCAAACGTGGATTAGCGATCCATGGATTTGGCGCGCGGTCGCCAAGAATCCATGGATCGGGGGGGGTGCCCTCCCCGAAATGCGGCCGGTGCCGCCTCGCTCGGCGGCGGAGATCCGCGATTTCCCATGGAAGCGGGACCCGTCGCCAATCCACGCCCCCCTGATCCATGCTTGCGGTCGCCTGAACCTTCCTCGGCGAACCCTCGATCCAGCAGTCGGCGGCGGAAATCCGCGATTTCCCATGGAAGCGGGACCCGTCGCCAATCCACGCCCCCCTTGATCCATGCTTGCGGTCGCCTGAACCTTCCTCGGCGCACCCTCGATCCAGCAGCCCCTGCGGTCTCCGTGCCGCCAGCAGGGGCGCGGAGCAAGGAGCGATGAACCTTCCTCGGCGAACCCTGAACCTTCGATCGAGAACCCTGAACCAATGGCTTGCGATCGCCTGAACCTTCCTCTGCGCACCCTCGATCCAGCAGCCCCTGCGGTCTCCGTGCTGCCAGAAGGGGCGCGGAACAAGGAGCGAGAGGAGCTTCTCCCGGCCACGCCGAGCCTCGGAAGCGGGCGGCGGCTCCCGACCTGGATCCAAGGACCGCCCCGGCTGCCGGAGCCCCTCCTGGGCCCAGCGTGGCCCTTCGTTCCGCGCCTCGGCTGCATGAGCTCGCAGGGAGCTGTCCCCCAGAAGCCCGGACATCGGGGACGCACTCTGAGCATTTTCTCAGGGAGGGAGCCCTCTACCCTGAGAAAATGCTAGGAGGAGGAGGAGGAGGAGGAGGAGGAGGAGGAGGAGGAGGAGGAGGAGGAGGAGGAGGGAGGAGGAGGAGGAGGAGGAGGAGGAGGGAGGAGGAGGAGGGAGGAGGGAGGAGGAGGAGGGAGGAGGAGGAGGAGGAGGAGAGGAGGAGGAGGGAGGAGGAGGAGGAGGAGGAGGAGGAGGGAGGAGGATATCGGGGGAGGAGAGGAGGGGGACGGAGGAGGAGGAGGAGGAGGAGGAGGAGGAGGAGGAGGAGGAGGAGGAGGAGGAGGGGGAGGGAGGAGGAGGAGGAGGAGGAAGCCCGGATATCGGGGACGCACTCTGAGCATTTTCTCAGGGTAGAGGACTCAGGGTGAAATCCAGATGGGCCCTTGCACCTCGAAAACCAATCCGACTTGTGATTCACCTTTTGCAGGTTCAAGCCTCGAACATCCATCGAGACAGCATTTCAGATTTTACCCTCGAAACCATCGAAACAGCATCCAGCGAAACAGCATCCAGCGAACATCGTTCCTCGAAAACTCGAAAATCCTCAAAAACTAGAAAACTCGAAAACTTGAAATCCTCGAAATCATTGAAAACTTGAAAACTTTTCACCTTCAAAGTTCAAGCCTCGAACATCCATCGAAACAGCATTTCAGATTTCACCCTGTGCCCTCCACCCAAAGAAACTGCTCGGGCACTGGCCTCTGGTCAGGCGCGCAAGCCGGGTCGGTCGGGCTTTGCACGATCCTGCAGGATGCTGCAAGAGCCTGCGCGCGAGCCTGGGTCAATGCGCCCCTGGCTCTGCAGGATCCTGCAAGAGCCGGCGCTCGGGCTGACCCTCGTCTGCGTTGGCCCCCGTCCCTGGAGCCCCGAGGAATGGCGGAGAGGCCCGACGCCAGCAGGGCGCGTGTGTGGGCGGCCGTGCAGGGGCGTGCACGGCCGTGCTCGCGCGGCGTCGGTGCTGGAGGAGTTGCAGGGCGGAAGAAACCGCCGCGTGCAGTTTGACAAAGGCGTCCTCTGCACTGCAGAGGGAGGATGAGGATGAGGATGAGGATGAGGATGAGGATGAGGATGAGGGTGGTGATGTTGCTGCTGCTGCTGCTGCTGATGATGATGACGTTGATTATGTTGAGTGTGATGATGATGACGATGCTGCTGCTGATGATGATGATGAAGCTGATGATGATGATGATGATGATGATGGTGATGATGATGCTGCTGCTGATGATGCTGATGCTAATGATGCGGCTGCTGCTGCTGCTGATGATGATGATGACGACGAGTGTGATGATGATTACGATGATGATGACGAGGATGATGATGATGAGGAGGAGGAGGAGGAGGAGGAGGAGGAAGAGAAGGAGGAGGAGAAGGGGGAGGAGGAGATGGATGAGGAGGAGGAGGCGGAGGCGGAAAAGGAGGAGAAGGAGGAGGAGGAGGATGACGAGCAGAGTCCTTAGCCAACAGCCATGGATAGGAGCAATGTGCAGGATACGGATGCAAGAGCATCGGGCGTCCATGTTGAAACGAGCGCATGCGGCGTCCATGCAGGAGCAGTGGCGGAGCATGGGCCGAAGAAGCACTGATGAAAGAGTAGCCTCTTGCTACATAGCTTCATCCCTGCAATCGTGCTTGGCTGTAGGGACAACGACTTTCGAAAACTCGAGTGAGCTTCGTTGCCGATCGAGGAAAAAGGAACGAGAGAGGAGGAATGCGGAACGGCATGGTTGGGAGGAACACGACGCTGGCGATACGAATGAGGATAAGGCGGAAAGGACAACAATACGATGAAAGCAAGAGGAGGGGGAGGAGGAGAAGGAGGAGGAGGAGGAGGAGGAGGAGGAGGAGGAGGAGGAGGAAGAGGGGAAGGAGGATGAGGAGGAGGAGGAGGAGGAGGAGGAGGAGGAGGGAGGATGAGGATTAGGATGAGGATGAGGAGGAGGAGGAGGAGGAGGAGGAGGAGGAGGAGGAGGAGGAGGAGGAGGAGGAGTGGGAGGAGGCGGAGGAGGGAGAGGAGGAGGGGGAGGAGGAAGAGGAGTACGAGGAGGATAATGATGATTATATTAGACACATCTCAACGCAGGGGGCTAAGCCAGGATACAGGGGAGGAACCCACCAGGACACTTGCACCCCGCTCAGCGGGGGCAAGAGACCCAGCGGCTAGACCCTCTCACTTTTCGTCGAAGACTGGGACGCACCGCCGTTCAAGGCACCAGTGAAATCAGCAAGCGGCACCAACTCGTCAAGCGGGACATTCCAAAGACGGCGGTTGGGATGGAGCCCACGACGGATGCGGCTAAGGTTGCTTTGAAGATGAGTGAACGTTGGCCCACCTTTGCAACCACTGGGAAGGCCTCCTAGCCTCACCCCGTCGCTGACAGAACCACGCGTCATGCAGCAGAAAACGGTGGCCCCATCAGGGGTGCCAGTCAAGAGCAGGCGGTGGCCTTGGGCTCCTGCGCCGAGGCTCGAGGAGCAGGGTTCGAGCAGACGCAGTCGAGGGAAGGGGCAGGAGGCTCCGAGCGCACACGGATGAAACACCTCATGCCTGCCCATCCGTTTCGGACCCACCGGAACTCGTGGCCCCTGGCGGGTTGGCAAACCCGCGGAGGAGGGGGCAAACCGTCGCGCCCACCACAAGGGATGACTCCCGAGTGGTGGGTCCAGTTCATAGGAGGCTCCCGCAGGGCGCCATTGCACCAGGGGGAGGAAAGGAGAGAAAAAGAGGGCCCCGCCTCCACCTGCGGGTCGCAGGCGCCTTATCGCGAGGGGGGGGGGGCGGGCGGAGGGGGAAGAGGAGGGGCGGGGTTTGGCAGCAAGCTCGGGGGCCCTGTCCAGGACCTCGGATCCCTTGGCAGCTCTGGCGGCGAGGAGGAGGAGGAGGAGGAGGAGGAGGAGGAGGAGGAGGAGGAGGAGGAGGAGGAGGAGGAGGAGGAGGAGGAGGAGGAGGCGGAGGAGGAGGAGGAGGAGGAGGAGGTGGGGGAGGAGGAACAGGAGGAGGAGGAGGAGGAGGAGGAGGAGGAGAAGGATGAGGAGGAGGAGGAGGAGGAGGAGGGGGAGGAGGGGGAGGAGGGGACGGGGAGTGGAGGCGATAGGAGGTCCGCTGTCAGCCACATCAGCGGCTGTGTCTCGCATTCGACCGCCTGTTCATCCAACGGTGTCTTTTATCCGCACCGCCCACAGCCATTAGCGCGCAACATATGGAGGATGTGGAAGAGGAAAATGTGGAGGAGAAGGAGGGAACGCAATAAGTGAAGGGGTGACGTGCTGATAATGATTCGCTTGCCCAACGGGCCAGAGGCGTGATAAGATCTTCGGTAACAAGTTAACAATATTTCAAATTCGCGCGCGCGTGGCAGTACCCCAAGCGATGCCTGGCCGATGCCCAGCCGATTCCCCCGGGGCGCTCCAGGAGCGCGCCAAGGGGGCGCCGGGACGCCCCCTACACGGCCCAAGAGGCCCCAAGTCGCCGAAAGATCGTTCCAAGACGCTCAAGAAACAAACATCGCCCCATTCCCTTCAGAAAACGTGCATTTTTCGTATGTGCGACGTTTCTTGTCTTTTCGGCTTTCCAACGTTCCGAGACCGCCCAAGAGGCCCCCAAGACCGCCCCAAGACGGCCCAAGAAGCTTTCAAGAGGGCCCCGAGACGGCCCAATATGGCCCCAAGACAGCCCAAGATGCGTTCAAGATGGCCCAAGAGGGCTCCAAAACGGCTCCAAGAGAGGCCCAAGACGGGGACCAGGAACCGAACAATCCAGCTTTCAGCTCCAAGAGGCCCCCAGGAGGCCCCAAGAGGCCCCCAAGAGGCCCCAAGGGGTCCCCAAGAGGCACCCCGCGAAGCCTCAAGAGGCCCCCAAGAGGCCCCAACACGGCCCCCAAGAGGTCTTAAAACT